ATGCCTTGAATAAAAGACATCATGCATTTATTAAGTAATCATCTATAAACAGTAAATTAACATAAAAAATTAAGAACAGTATTTTACTTATTTCACCATCAAAGAAATTTGCTATCTTTGATTTGAGAGAAAAACTTACAAGGTTCATATTATCGAAATTAGGCTGATTTTGAAAGGCTGGTGACAGCGTATGTGTGAGAAAGTCTGTCAGTGAGACCCACTCCCCAATCTTCTCCCCTGCCCCGCTCTCTCTTGGTGGTGGTTGCTGCTGTCGGATTATTCTTGGGAGGGCAATCCCCGGTCCCCTCCACAGCTCTTCGATCCCGGTCTCCCTTTTGTTTGGGGTCTGTGCCAGTCTGCATGAAGTCAGGGGCTCGATCTCTGTGGCTCTTACATTCCCAGCCAGTGCCTGTCTCACGGTAGTAACTCAAATAGAATCACATAGGCCTCAATTTTCTCAATTGGTAAAGGGAATATAGTAACACCTATTTCACTGGATTTTTAAGCAAAGTAAATAAAGATATCTACAAAGTGTCAAGTCCAGTGCTTAGCATATAAAAATCAGTAATTCCATAAATCTGATTTCCTAATTTGTTTTAATTAGATAATTTTAAATTGTTGACTCCCCTGGGACGTTTTCTCATCTGTAAAAAAAAAAGTATTGGTCTACATCCCTAGGTTCCTCCTAATTTAAAAAATGCCTATGATTTTATGATTATCATCAACATTTATTGAACCCTAACTGTACAAAGGGCTCTGCAAAAGGTAGCTAATTTGTGGAAGAGACCTAGTTAAGAGCCTTATGATGTATTTGGGAAGCAGAAAAATCTATTAAAAAGATAAGGAATTCAGGACATATCAGGGTCAAATAAGTACTACATTAGAGGCTATCCTAACACCTTTTCTTTTACTAACTCACCAGAATAACCTACACTCTCCACTCCCTCTGAAAAGCATATATTGACTGATGTCTACCACAGCCTAACAAAATGCTTGTGGCCAGTATCCCAATGAGTAGCTCTTAAAACTGAATTTATTCCCCAAACCATTTTGCCAAATGTACTTGTTATAGATTACACAAAAATTAAATATAAATATATTTGATAAGTCAATGAAACACACAAGATTTCTATGAAAACTAAGTAGTTTTACAAACTCCAGATTGGGGGAGTGCGGGTTCTGTTCTCATAATATTTCACAAGTATCCCTGGCTCTACTTTAAAGAAACAAAAATAGGAAATTATAGATATTATGGGTGTTGTATAATAAGAATTTGACTGGCCTTTTCCCCTGGTTTCTTAGAGAGAGACTCTTTTTTTTTTTTTTTTTTTAATGTTTATTTATTTTTGAGACAGAGAGAGACAGAGCATGAGCAGGGAAGGGGCAGAGAGAGAGGGAGACACAGAATGTGAAGCAGGCTCCAGGCTCTGAGCTGTCAGCACAGAGCCTGACGCGGGGCTCGAACTCACGAACTGTGAGATCATGACCTGAGCCAAAGTCGGACGCTTAACCAGCTGAGCCACCCAGGCGCCCCGAGAGAGACTCTTAAATCCTGGGAATTTCCCAAGTCACAGGAATATCTCATTCATGTAATACATGAGCCCTTTGGATCACACCTGTGTTAAGCTACCAAGATGACTTAGGATGAGGAAATATCACTGGAAAGACTAACCACGTGATTAGAGGATTGGGGCTTTGAACAGTCCAAACTCAGGGGAGGACACGAGGGGGCAGGAGACTGAGTTCAATCAGGTAGCCAATGATTCAGTCAATCATACTTAATGAAACTCAAAAAAAAACCTTTGGACACCACAATCCAGGTAACTCTCGGGGCCGGTGACACATCTATGTGCTGGTAGGGTTGCATACCCGGACTTCAGCAAGAGAACGCAGAAGCTCTACATTCAGAACCCTCCCAAACCGCACCCTAGGTGTCTTTAGTTGGCTGGTCCCGATTTTTATACTTAAGCTGTAATCAGAAGTCCAGAGCTTTCCTGCGTTCTCAGAGTCACTCTAGTGAATTATTGAACCTCAGTGTGGGTTCGTGGGAATCCTCCGGATTTGTAGCCAGTTGGTCAGAAGTACGGGTGACCTGGAGACCCCTGCACTTGTGGCTGGTGTCTCAAGTGCGGGCAGCCTTTTGGGAACTTGTACCCTTAGTCTGTGAAGTCTGCACGAAATCTGGGTGGTTACCATTGGAACTGCATTACAGATGTGACTGACACAAGAAAGACAAAGTGCAAGTCTGCTTAGCAGACCCATAAGAATCTCAGTCCTGTGAAAACAGCACATGAATGTGCATAGGTATGTTTTAAGTTATAATGAAAATTTTAAGGTTTGTAAGAATCATTTTTATATGCTTCCTAACTTTAATCAACTTTTTGTTTAACCAAATTTTGGTTCTAATCAAATTAGATGAAGGGACATGTGCTATTCAAATAATAGCTGCCAGAAAAGGTTTTTTCACAAAGATCAGCTCTAAACCTTTCCCCTTTTCAGCTATGAATGTGCATGTCCCTCAACCTGAGAATCTGGTATCTCTCGTACCTGCCACTACAACAAGAGATACACAGGTTACATCTCCTTGAGACCCTCTATTTCCCATGGCGCCACTGGATAACGTGTCTTCACCGCAATCCTAGAATAGGCAACGTTTCTATGCTAAGAGCTAGAACAGCTGGATGCCCCAGGTGGAAGATGGTGAGAGGTTTTTATCAGAGAAATTTATATATAGTCAATGAAATATTTTAGGACTTCTTTTTCTAGCCTTTTTTCTTTCTAATCCATGGTTGGCAAACTAGTTGGTAGGTCTGCTGGGTCTTTTTGTACAGACTCCTGATCAAAGAATAGTTTTACATTTTTAAATGGTTAAAAAAGAGAAAATAATGGTATCTTTCGACACATGAAAGTGACATAAAGTTCAAAATCAAGGGTCCATAAATGCAGGTTTATTGGAACGCAGCCATGCTCATTCCTTTCTGTACTAAGGCTGCTTTCTCACTACCATGGCAGAATCAAGTAATTGGGTGTGGTCCACAAAGCCTAAGATATTTACTATCTATCCCTTTATAGAAAGTTTGCTGGGGCGCCTGGGTGGCTCAGTCGGTTAAGCGTCCGACTTCGGCTCAGGTCACCATCTCGTGGTCCGTGGGTTCGAGCTCCGCGTCGGGCTCTCTGCTGACAGCTCAGAGCCTGGAGCCTGTTTCAGATTCTGTGTCTCCCTCTTTCTCTGACCCTCCCCTGTTCATGCTCTCTCTCTGTCTCAAAAATAAATAAATGTTTTAAAAAAAAAAAAAAAGAAAGTTTGCTGACCCCTGTTACAATCCTCAGCACATACCTACATATATACACCAGCCAAACTGAACCTATACACTATTCCTTACAAGTCCTGTATGTCCTGCTTCTTTCTATGTGCCCATCCTGGTCCCTGTCTTGTATGAAGTAGTATTCCCTGCCCTCACCCTCTCAGCCCTTGAGTCAAAATCCCTTTCCATCCACTTGGGCACAGCTCAGGATTCACTTCTTGTAGGAAGCTTTCTCTGCTGACCCAGAAAGAAGTGGTCTCTCCCTTCTCTTTGAACTAGTCTGTCACTATGTAATAGTCTACTAACACTTATGAAAAAGTTAACTTTATTTTCACAGTTAAAAAAATCTGCCACACTTTCCTTCATAAGGCAGAATTCCTTAAAGAAGTTATCAGCCCCGAAGTCTAGCCTGCCTGGTGTCTTTAGGCCAACTGGTCAATACTTTGGCCTAAGAATTATTATTTTTTTGAATTTTCTTTAACGTTTATTTATTATTGAGAGACAGAGAGAGACAGAGCATGAACGGGGGAGGGGCCAAGAGAGAGGGAGACACAGAATCCAAAGCGGGCTCCCGGCTCCAGCTGCCAGCACAGAGCCCAACGTGGGGCTCGAACCTACAAACCGCGAGATCATGGCCTGAGCTGAAGTTGGATGCTTAACCGACTGAGCCACCCAGGCGCCCCATATATTTTTTTTTTAATTCAAGTATAATTAGCATACAGTGTTATATTAGTTTCAACAGTTCTATATGTTTCTCAGTGCTCATCAGGATAAATGCATTCTTAATCCCCTCTATTTCCCCATCCCCCCATTCACTTCCTCTCTGGCAACCACCAGTTTGCTCTCTGTGTTTAAGAGTTTGTTTTTTATCTCTTGAACTGATTTTCACATCTTCATTTACCTATTTTAGTTATCCAATTTGCATATCTTAGCTATAATTTTCAATTTTTACTTACCACATTTTCCTGGATCTGACAGTTAGATACAGAGATACTAGTAGATAAATCTTCTGTAAAACAGAAGAACGATGTAAGAGCAAAGAACAAAATTGTTATAGGACTTAATAATATTAACATCTGCTGACATGCAAGTGCCCACAGTACATTAAGTTTTATAAACTGGCTGAATTAAAAATTGGCTAATTATGTTCTTTAAAAAAATTTATCCACACACACAATACTAACCCAGTAACAGGAAACTGGTTAAATAAAATATGAAACATCCACACAAAGAAATCCTATCTAAACATTTAATGGTGTAGAGCTATAATACTGAGTTAGAATGCTATCCACAGCATATTAAGTTAGAAAGGCAAGTTGTAAGGTAGTAGCAGCATTTGATGAAGAAAATGATACTTCCGATGAGTGAGAGAAGTAGGGTTGGGGAACAAAGCCTGCTCTTTATACACTTCTATACTGCCTTCATTTTCTAAAACATGAAAAGCATGCATTACTTTAGTAATAATAAAATTTGGGGTGTCTGGGTGCTTCAGTCGGTTAAACGTCTGACTTTGGCTCAGGTCATGATCTCGTGGTTCATGAGTTCAAGCCCTGTGTCAGGCTCTGGGCTAACAGCCTGCTTCAGATTCTGTCTCCCTCTCTTTCTGCCCCCCTCCCATCATGCTCTCTGTCTCTCTCTCAAAAACAAACATTACAAAAACTTTTTTAAAAATTAAAAAATTAAAATTAAAAATTAGACAAATCTACATATACTAGCATTGAAATATATCTGATATATATTAAATAGTGGATAAAAGCCAGTTCCAAAAAGAACAAAGAGTATGACCACACTTTTCTACAAAAATAAAATATAACAATACAGCACAGATAACATAAGCTTCCCTTCTCCCCAAAGCAAGAAATATACACCAAATTGTTCATAATGGTCTTCTGAAGGAGGAGGTATAGGACCAGGAATAAGGGGGGGCGTTACAAGTGTATAGGAAGGACTTCTTCATCTTATATTCCATAATGCTGTAAAATTCAAATGTTTGTATTATTTTGGTACGCAACGGAAGTAACTGACAAGAGAAAAGGGCAGCATGGGAAGTGAGTAAGAGATTAGGTCTCAAACATCTAGAATCTTGGAGACAACTCAAAGACAATATGAAATTTCCTTTACAATCCCAAATACAAAAATTAACAAAATGTAAGCAAACTATGCATCAAAAACTATGCATCAAAAAATGACTGTCAAAGCCTGCATTTAAAAATATTAAATCAATCTTAAAATATTTTAAATAATTAAAATATTAAATATCAATGAAACAAAAAAGGCACAGCATCAACGATACAGAAGTATGTAACACTATGCTTTCCAATTGTTCCGGTTTCCTAGTGTCAACGCAGATTGTTTCAAAGGCCTCCACTGTCCAGCTCCACCCAGTTTTAATTTCTTTGCTTCCCAGAACTTTACACCACAAAAAGCAGCAGCAACAACAACAACAGTATTACCAGTGCATCAGGAACTGTGCTACGTGCATTGTATGCATTTATTATGATTCACACTTTAGATGAGAGACTGTAGAGACCAAGGTCACACAGACAGTAAGCGGCACGACTGTGCATCATTCTCTAGCACTCTCACGCAACCCTTCTGCTTTTCGAGATTCTCAACCCGAGGGAGGAGGTCCATGGATGATGGGCTAGAGGAGGTTCCCACATCCAGTTATACATAAAATTTGTATGTATGCTCCTGTATTATTTTCTGGGGGAATAGGTCCATGGCTTTAGTTAGGTTATCAGAGTTCTGTCTAAAATCCCCCAAAACTTTAGCAGCACTGTAAATATCCATTAATTCATCCTCTTAGAATCAATGTTAAACACCAAACATGGTCACGGTCATTATCTTCATCCCATTGATCACACCTGTCTCCTTAACTAGAATAACACTAGCTCTCTGCCGTTCCCTTTTAGCTTTTCCTATCCTAACCTACTTGGGATCCAAGGTCAAGATCCAAATCATGAAGTCTCTGCTTACTCCTTCTATCCATATCCGCATCCTCCAAGTAATGCATTACTCGTTTTTGCACACTACTGCTTTATGCTGCTACCTAACACTTACTTATGTATGTGTGTCCTATCTCCCTTAATTTCTCCCTTAATACTCTAGCTCAGAGCCTAACATAATGCCAAGAATAGGTGCACAAAATAATACAGTTGAACAGAAATAAAGTACATGTAGGAACTGGTTGATACCTATTTCAATTTAAATATATCTGTCTAATAAATGGTGTTTCCCCAGAAATAACAATACCAATGGCGTAAAAGTGACATTATATTATGGCTTTCACTTGATCCTTTACAGAATTTAGCTTTTATTTTATAAATTTTGTTGGTGCAAAGAACATGTGTTTCAACAATTTTTTTTAGTATTTCTGAATGTCTTAATTCAGTTAAAAGAAAAACAGCATTTCTGGCTTCATAGATTTCACAAGTATGACATGAACCGTAATTCTTGATCACCTGTTTATATCCCACCATGAAGCAAAATACTAATATTAGCAATTTAGTTTAATCCACTGAGAGTTCATGGAAACCAAAGACTGTTCTATTCCTTACTGGTTCTCTTTCCTCGAATGCTGACAACCCCACAAAGTAGGTACTATCACAGAGAGGTGAAGTTTTGCCTAAGATCACCTAATAGGTTGGCAGAGCCTGGAGAGGGAGACTGACTCTGGAACCTTTTCTTTCATACTGGGGGTTGTATGTATACACTATAACCAACGTGAATTGTATAAAGGAATTAACCCGCAGTATTGGTTACTAACGATGAAGCTTAAAATGAGCGTTAGAAATACATAAACACAACCACACCCACAAAACGCTTAAGAACCAAAGGGGGGAAAAAGCCATCAACAAGCTTATTGCTTACTGTGATCTTTCCCTTGCCCCGGAGAAGTGCAAACACTTGCTTGAGGGGTAACAGGCATGAGAGCTTGGCGAATTGCTTTTTCCCAGCTCTGTGCTACATCAACTCCAATTCCAGTGGCAGCAAGAACAGGATTGTGGGAACTGTCTCCATTGTTCTCCCCAACAAAGTATACCATAGTGTCAGTGATGATTTCAAAACAGTGTGGGTTGCTGCCTTGTGAAATGTTTGTGAAATCTTGTGGCGAAGATATGCGGAGAATTTCTGAAAGTGGAATTTCCTGCAGTAAAAAAATCAAGCATTAAAAAATATAAATACATCTTTGTTTTTATTTTCAAATACGCTAAACAATCAAAGATACACATTTCTAGCGAATGCACTAAGATGAACACAAGTATGTGGTACATGGAGCACGCAGTCAAGTCTTACAGTAGTATCTGCCATCAGTGATCTGCCAAAGGCAGAGCCTGGAGCGTACTAACCCAGTGTTCCAGCCTATAGCAGGTTGTTAGAATGCAAGGAAGGAGAGGACTGGGGAGAGTTAACTGCCACTGTATCCAACACTTGTCCCTTTCCAACTGTCATTAAATCAACTCAACAATTACTTCTCTGCCAGCTGCTGTCTGCAAGATGCAGCCCTCAAAGGAAAACAAAGCAAAAACAACAGCAAAAGGAGAACGCTAGCACAGGCTGTTCACGCACTCCATTCTGGTTCTGCCCACAACTGTAACAACTCTGTATGTGTTGTCTACTCCCTGAGGCAAAAAAAACCCCAAAAAACCTATTTAAAAGAACCCAACCAGCTCAAAGTCATCAGTTTCTGATCTCTCTTAAGGATACAATCGCTCCACTTACAATTTTGTTTGGTGTCGGTCTGTGACATGGCCAAGTGTGGAACAAGCCAGGCAAAGAAGACTATACAAAAGCGAAGCAGTAGCATGTGGGAATCGGGGCCTAAGATCAAATGGAGCAGGGAGAACATGGATACCACACCGGCCTCTTCTGGACAGGCAATGATCATGAACAGCCCGATCTAAATCATGGTGTCCAGAAGGAAATCAGCAGCAACCTGACAGGCAGGCCAAGACCAAAGGAACACACAACAAAAAACATCCTTTGGTAGCAGGGCTGCTGTAGGGGGTGAAATGGAGGGTGGGGGAAAACTGTTTCAACAAGGAACTCAAGAGTGACTTATAAGCGATATTAGGCAGAGTCATAATACACAGTATATGCCAATATAATAACTAACAAATATTACTTTAATATACCTGGAAAACATACGATATTTTAATGTATGTTATTTTTTTAAATGTGGAATCTTTACCTTATAATACTTTGATCCAGATTCATTTTGAAATAATGTGAGACATTTGCTGTCCAGTCTCCAATAATGTCTCTTTCTCTATAAAATAAAGGGCATACAACTGTTAGGTATAAAAATAATGATTCTTCCAAAGTACCTGTGCCTTTCTTTCTTTTTCCTTTCATTTATACTCATAAGTTTGTATGTCTGAATAGGTTTAAAATTCACGGGGGTCAAAATTCTGCGAACAGAAAAAGGATATGTAGTCATAAGCATACTCAAGTCCACCCTACCCCACGTAAGCAACGGTAGTAGGTTTCTGGGAATCCTTTTAGGGAACTTTATGTGAGCACGTGCAAATATACGTGTGGTATACATGCACTGATATGTAATTCATCTGTAGGCTACATTTCTAATTTACCTACTGGCTTGCCAGGTCAAAAGATATGTACACATGTAATTCTCCTTGACAGTATTAATTATCCTACATATGATTTGATCCAATTTATAGTTTTATCAGCAACATGAGTACCTATTTACTCAAACCTTCACTAATCTAGTATGTCACTAAACTTTTTGATCTTTGCTGTACTGATAAAAAAAAAAGGTAATTCAGTGAAATTTTAAATTGTACTTTTTATTAAATATGAGATCAAGCTCTCATCTTTAAAAGTCATTTGTATTTTCCTGCCTGTGAACTCTGTAGATATTATTTGCCCATTCTTTGACTGTTTGTATTTTTTTTGAATCAATTTGTTGGTATCCTTTACATATCATAAAATGAATCCTTGTCTAGAACATGACTTCAGAATACTTTTTTCAGTTTGTCATTTGTCTTTGCTTTTTTTGACACGTGGCTTTTTTTTTTTTTTAATGTTTCTTAAAATAATTTTGTAAAATGAAGATTTTGGCCGTTTTAAGTTCATAGCCTAATTAAAGGGAAGGTACAGAGATTTCTCATATATCCCCTGTGCCCACACATGCAGAGCATTCCTGTGACCTACATCCTTCTTCTGAGTGGTACATCCACTACAACTGATGAACCTACACTGACACATCATAATCACAAAGCCCATAATTTGTAAGAAACCACCAGTCTTCCAAAGTATCTATACCACTGCATCCCCATCAGCAATGAATGAAAGTTTGTGTTGGCCTACATCCTTGCCAGCATTTGGTGTCGACAGTGTTCCAGATTTTGGTCATTCCAATAAGCGTGTAGTGGTATCTCACTGTTGTTTTAATTTGCATCTCCCTGACAACATATGATGTGGAACATCTTCATCATATGCCTGTTTGCCATCTGTACAGATCTTCTTTGGTGAGGTATATGTTAAGGTCTTTGACTCATTTTTTAATTGGGTTGTTTGTTTTCTTACTGTTGAGTTTTAAGTGTTCTTTGTATATTTTAGAGAAGTCTTTCATCAGATGTCTCTTTTGTAAATACTTCCTCCTAGCCAGTGGTTGTCTCATTCTCTTGATACTGTCTTTCGCAGAGCAGGAGTTTATAATTATAATGAAGTCCCTCTTATTATTTATTTCATGGATTTTGTATTTGATGTTATATCCCCAGACCTCTTCTGAATCTCTACTGCTCTACTGGTTTGTAAAGATATTTCAACGTTCTGTCTTTTGAGAACTCTTTACAAATGTAACTACAGTTCCAATATACTATGTCTTAATACATATTACATCCTCATTTTGATTTTAAAAATGCACAAAATAAAGTACGTAACAAACTTTCACTACCATATTAAAATATCTGTGACTACTGACCAGGGTGTCCCTGCTGGTGTAATGGACCATCCACCCTTCCTTCACCATCGTGCTGCTCTTCCTCTTTGTGTGCTTGATGGACTGTACAACCCTCATCAGCGGAATATTACTGCTTGTTGACGGACTACAAAACATTTAACATTTATGATAAAATATTGATAATTTGAATTTTTAAAAAATCCTATGAATACTGTAAGCTCACTGGCCTTTTTAAAGATAACTGAGCTAAATTTTTTCAAAATATCTTACAGAAATAGGTTAAGAAAAAGAAATTAATCCTTTCATGATGATACACAGTTGATTTATAGAAGACTAAGACAATCCTGAAAGTCCTCATTATGTGTCATCAATATTTTTTGGAAGGTCCCAACACAAAACAATGAACAGAGCAGAAAGAATCTTCCCCAACTGGAAGATCTGGAGCCTGGAAGAGGGTCTCATTTGGGACTGCTGTTGAGAAAGGTTCTTTTGTCCTAGGCAGCATGATTAATTAGTAAATTCGTAACAAGGTAAAGAGCAAGTATACCTATTCACAAAATCACATGGTTCAAATGTCAAATTCCATTTTTCATGTTGTTAGGAAAAAGTATTTCTAATAGATACTAATAAAATGATTTATAGCTACCAATTAAGACAATAAAATAAAGTACTGCGTCAAATCAGGTAATATTGAAACATGGGTCAGAAACAGCACAGCTGGAAGTAAAAGAACAATTTGACGGGATATGTGTGAAAAATACATGGTTTTTCAATTTGAATCTCAGTTAAATATTTTCTCTTAAATTATGAAATATTCATGATTAGGAAGCTAGCTAAGTTCTCTTCACAGTCTCCAAACTGGGTAAACAGTAAGTTTTAGTTCATAATGATAATAGCTGCAATCTAATGACAAGCCAAAATGAATAAATGACCACTCAGTTAAATGATCCATTTTCTCTAAATACTTCTTTGTTGCCAGTGAAGAACAAAACCTGCCAAAATATTCACATTTTATTACAAAGTAGTGTATCCTACAAAGCTGTATACACAAAAAACTGAATTTCTATAAACATAAGGGGATATTTACAAGTTTTATAATCCAATAGCATTTTGCAAAGTGCTAACAGTCTAACTGTGGTAAAATGAAAACTGCCCCCAAATTTGTCACCATCATCTCTGTGCAACATTCGGCAGGTATATATTCTCACTGGTGTTTCTAACATCTGATAATTTGCCTAAATGAAGAAGCTGGTTGCTTTAATTGATAGTTTAATTCCGGCACCTTGTGGTGGCTGTTCCACAGCCAGATATAATATCTAGACTACATTTAAATAAAGCATTTTTCTCTTTAACAAGGATTCTCAAACTTTCCCATCTTGAGTAGATGGCAAGAGTGTATAATTTATTTCAGAAATACTGTGGTGCATGTAAAGGAATTAGCAATACTTTAACTGGATTGTAAATTACATTCTAGGTTCCACTGAAAGAAATGTGGCTTTTTCTTTCTTAATGAAGCACCTGGACTAATCCTGCATTTGGAAGTAGCTTGCAATACACACACGTGCATTACCTGATGGTTTTCACAGCTTCCTCATCTCTTTCCACATCAAGATCAGACGGATCCAAGAAGAACATTTTATCTTCTGGAGGAGATGGTTCTTCAATGTCATCCAAGCCCCGGCTACCATCACTGTTCATGTCACTACTGTCAATATCCATTGGTATATCTGTATCTGTTCCCAGACTGGAAGGTTCTGGCAAAGTTTTAAATGAATTCAGAGTTTCATATTAATGGGAGAGCAATACATGTAAATAGAAAAAGTATATGAAATGTGAAAAAAAAAGGTTTTAAAACTCTTAATGAAAATAGGAAAATATCTTTATGGATAAAGAGGTATTTAATTAAGGAAGATATAAAATGCACATACCCTAAGGCAGAAAATTAATTAATTTGCTTAAACAGAACTTAGGGGCGCCTGGGCGGCTCAGTCAGTTGAGTGTCTGACTTCGGCTCAGGTCATGATCTCACAACTCGTGAGTTCGAGCCCCGCATCAGGCTCTGTGCTGACAGCTCAGAGCCTGGAGCTTGCTTCAGATTCTGTGTCTCCCTCTCTCTCTCTGCTCCTACTCTGCTTGCTCTCTCTCTCTCTCAAAAATAAATAAAAACATTAAAATTTTTTTTTTAATAATTAGAACTTAAATTTCTGTATGACAAAAGATACTAGAAGCAAAGCAAAAAATTAGCCACCACTATTGTATGTTGGGTTAACTGGTCCAGGGCAATTTGTTGGGGAAAGATAAATAGTCTGTTCCAAAAATGGTGCTGGGAGAACTGGATTATCTACATGCAAAAAGGTGAAACTGGACCCCTTTTGTAAACCAAATACAAAAATTAACTTAAAGTGGATCACAGATCTAAATGTAGGAGTTAAATCTATAAAACTCTTAGAAGAAAACATAGGAGTAAATCTTTGTGACCTTGGGTTATGCAAAGCCTTCCAGATAGAATACCAAAAATATAAGTGACAGAAGAAAAATTCAAGTGGACTTGATTATAATTAAAAACTTTTGTGCTTCAAATGATACCTCAAAAAAGCAAAAAGTCTGCCCAACAGAAGGGAAAAAAGTATTTACATATCATATATCAAATAAGGGACTTGTATCTCAAATGTTTAAAGAACTCTTAAGACTTGATAATAAAAAAAGAAATAACCAGTTGAATGGGCAAAGGACCAGAGTAATAGAGATTTCCCAAAGCAGATGTAAAAATGATCAACAGGTATGTGAAAAGATGTGGATATCAATTAGCCATCCACGAATGCAAATCAAAACCACAAGGAAGTATTACTTCATACTCAGTAGGATGGCAACAATCCAAATGACAGATAATAACAAGTGGTGGTGAGCTTTCAGAAAAACTAGAATCCTCATACACTGCTGGTAAAGTGAGTGTAAAATAGTGCAGCTGCTTTGGAAAACAGTTTGGCAGTCCTCAAAATTTTAAAACACGGAGTTACCATATGACTCAACAATTCCACAACTAGGTATCTACCCAAGTGAAATGAAAACATATGTCCACAGAAATTGTACTCAAAATGTTCAACGCAGCATTATTCATAATAGCCCCAAAGTGGATACAGCTCAAATGTCCATCAACTGGCTGGTGAACAGATACATAAAATGTGGTATCTTCATGCAGAGGAATGCTATTCATCAACAAAGCAGAACCAGTACTGATACATGTTACAACATGGAGGAACCCTGAAAACATTAAGCTAGGTCCAAGAAACCAGTCACAAAAGACTACATATCATGATTTCATCTGTATGAAAAGCTTATAATAGACAAACCCACAGCGGTAGAAAGTTGATTAGTGGTTGCCATAGGCTAGTGGGGAAGAGCGACGAGTGACTCCTAATGTGTATGGAGTTTCTTTTCAGGGTAATGAAAAATGTCCTAACACTGGACTGCACTGATAGATGCCTAACTTTGTGAATAAACTAAATGTGCCAAGTATGCAAAGTTTCTCAATAACACTGCTTAAAAAAAAATGATAATCCAGAACTCAGAGAAGGTATTTACATCAAGTATAACTGACAAAGAACTATTAGGTAGAATTATCAACAACTCCCTGCAAATCAGTAACAAATAAACAGAAAAATGGACAAAACATGTGAACAGATAATTTATAGGGGAAAAAAAAACCCCTTAAGAACCAGTAACCATTTGAAAGATGTTCAAACTACTTAGTATACATTAAAACCAATATAAATAGTATTTCATATTCATCTGTCAAACAGTAGTAAAGTACAAAAATACATGAACCATAAATCTGGAGGAAACTTTAGTCTATAGCAAAGCTGCATTAATTCAGAGTAACCCAAATGAGAAAACCAATCACGATCTGTCAATGGTGTTAAATAGCAACCATAAAAAACATGCCACAGGGGCGCCTGCGTGGCCCAGTCAGTTGAGCGACCGACTCTTGGTTTTGGCTCAAGTCATGATCTCATGGTTTGTGAGTTTGAGCCCAAAGTTGGGCTCTGCACTGACAGTGTAGAGCCAGGTTGTGATTCTCTATCTCCCTCTCTCTCTGCCCCCCCACCCTCGCACTCTCTCAAAATAAATAAACTTAAAAAAAAAATGCCATAAAAGAAAACATTAAAATCTTAAGAAATTCAATTTCCATTCCTTATACTTTTCATCCTACAGAACTACTTACATTTAATTTTTACCAGTCCTGTACATGTTAAATAAAAATTATGCTTGGATGATGGGTATTGAGGAGGGCACCTTTTGGGATGAGCACTGGTGTTGTATGGAAACCAATTTGACAATAAACTTCATATATTGAAAAAAATATATATATTACAGGCAAACAATAAAAAAAAAATTATGCTTGGAATCATTATTCCTTCCCTCCAAAAACATAATCACTATATAATCTTGAAAAAAGAAAAGAAAAAGGCATATGAGGGAATATGTTTAGCAAATGATTATTTGATGGAGAAAGAGACAGTGAGGCAGCACAATGTGTTCTAATGACTATGGACTAAGAAGCCAGATCATATGGGTTCAAATCCCAACTCTATAAACTGTTGGCTATATTTCTTGGGCAACTTATTCAATGTATTTGTGCCCAAGTTTACTCATCTGTAAATACTTAACTCAAAGGGCTGTTCTTAGGTTTAAATATCAATGTATGTAAAGAGTACAGAACTGTGCCTGGCACACAGAAGCAGTCAGTATTAGAACTATGAACACCTCTAGGGACAACAGCAGGGTGTAAAAAGAAGTATTTTATGTCTAAGGATGGAAGAAAATATGCAACACCACTGGCAACATTAGACTACAAATGGTAGGTGGCTATAGGAAAAATGGGAAGGCATAAATAAAATAAGATAAAATACAATACAATACAATACAATACAATAAGTGTACCTTTACTGATTATCTGTCTTTTCCTTGATTATTAAATTTAAAAAGCCAAAGTTTAAGAAACAAAGTAAACAAAATAAAACATTCAAATATAACCTTATACAAAGATAATACACAAAAGAACTGTGACCTTTTCTGATCGTTTGGGCAAATTAAGAAAAAGAATTTTACCTCCATTGAAAGTGACTTCTCCAAGACAGTCTCTTGGTACTTTTGATGCACAGCGTTTATGGCAGTTGAATTTACAATCTGAAATAAAATATTTGGTTTATTAATGTATGTAAAAAGTCAGGCAGTATCAGATATGCTTAGAGACTTTTTAAAGTTTTCCTTTACTAAGAACTCAGGTCTTGGAATAAAGGTCTGGTTTCAAATTCTGATGCCACCTCTTAATAGGTATTCAACTCCTCAGGGTTCCATTTCTTTTTTTTTTAATTTATTTTTTTTAAGTTTTAATGTAAATTCCAGCTAGTTAACATGATGTAATATTAGTTTCAGGTATGTAATATAGTGATTCAACACTTCCATACATCACCCAGTGCTCATCACAATGCACTCCTTAATCCCTATAACCTTTCTAACACTTCCCCTACCAACCTCCCCTCTGGTAACCATCAGTTAAGATGTTTAACTCTATAGCTAAGAGTCTGTTTCTTGGTTTGTTTCTATTTTTCCCCTTTGCTCGTTTGTTTTGTTTTTTAAATTCCACATATGAGTGAAATCATATGGTATTTGTCTTTCTCTGACTTATTTTGCTGAGCATAATTCTCTCTAGCCCCATCTACCAAGTGGCAAGATTTCATTCTTTCTTATGGCTGATTAATATTCCACTGTATATATATGCCGCATCTTCTTTATCCATTCATCAATCTGTTGATAATGGCTGTTTCCATAATTTAAATATTGTAGACAATGCTATTATAAACATAAGAGTGCATGTTACCTCTCTGAATTAGTGCTTTTGTACTCTGTGGGTAAATACTTCTGGTGGGATTGCTGGATCATAGGGTAGTTCTATTTTTAACTTTGTTTTTTTTAAGTCTATTTATTTTGAGAGAAAGAGAGCATGAGTGGGAAAGGGGCAGAGAGAGGAAGAGAGAGAATCCCAAGCAAACTCCAACACTATCAGCACAGAGCCCAACATGGGACTCAATCTCACAGTTTGTAGGATCATGACCTGAGCTGAAATCAAAAGTTGGACGCTTAACCGACTGAGCCACCCAGGTGCCCCTATTTTTAACTTTCTGAGGTATTTCCATACTGTTCTCCAGAGAGGCTGTACCAGTTTGTATTCCCACCAAAAGTGCAAAAGCATACCCCTTTCACCACATCCTGACGAAAACTTGTTTCTTGTGTTGTTGATTTTAGCCATTCTGACAGGTGTGAGGTGATATATCACTGTAGTTTTGATTTGTGTTTCCCCGATGATAAGTGATGTTGAGCATCTTTTCATGTGCCTATTGGCCATCTGTATGTCTTCTTTGGAAAAATGTCTATTCATGTCTTCTGCCCATTTCTAATTGGCTTACTCATTTTTTGGCTGTTAAGTTATATAACTTTTTTATGTATTTTGGGTACTGACCCTTTATGGGATAGGTCATTTTTAAATATCTTCTCCCATTCCATAGGTTGCTGCCTTTTAGTTTTGATGATTGTTTCCTTTGCTGTGCAGCAGCTTTTTATTTTGATGTGGTCCCAACAGTTTATTTTTGCTTCTGTTTCCCTTGGGTCAGGAGACGTATCTAGAAAAAAGTTGCTATGGCTCATATCAGAGAAATTATTGCTGTGCTTTCTTCAAGGGCTTTTATGATTTCAGTTCTCACACTTAGGTCTTTAATCCACTTTCAGTTTATTTTCGTGTATGGTAAAAGAGAGTGGTCCAGTTTCATTCTTTTGCATGTTGCTATCCAGTTTTCCCAACACCATTTGTTAAAAAGATTGTCTTTTTCCCACTGGATATTCTTTCCTACTTTGTCCAAGATTAACTGACCATACAGTTGTGGGTTCATTTCAGGGTTTTCCATTCTATTCCACTGATCTATGACCACTAATTGGCAGGAGAAAAAAATGGCACCAGCTCCTTTGTTCCCAGAAAGGGCTCTTTGTGAACTCTGCTTCTCAGGGGCATGCTCCAAGAAGAGCAAATAATCTCCTCACTGTGTGCCCCAGGCATTCTTCAGATTGTTGCTTCCACACTGTCTGCCCCCAGGTTGTTTGCCTGTCTTGTCTCTGAAGGTAGCCCCAATACCTCTAGACTCCCAGAGTCCAGTCTGCTGATGCTTAAAACTTCAGGCTTTAATCTCTGCTGACTGCAAGAACTCAAGTAATTCAGCCCCTCTTGCTTTCCAAGCCAATGGATGAGGAAACATTCTCCTTGTGCATTCCCTTGTGCATTCTCTCTCATCCTTCTCATGACCATGGCGCCCTCTCCTCCACAGCAGCCAAGATCCATTTCTTCCCTAAACCACATCCCACACTTCCATCCTTCTTCATTGTGGCTTCTTTTCTACCTTTAGTTGTAGAGTTTGTTCTGCCAGTCTTCAGGTAGATTTCTGGGACACTTAGGATGCTTTGATACTTATCTAGTTGTATCTGTGGGATGAGCGAACCTAGGTTCCTCCTACTTTGCTGCCATCTTCCCCAATTCTTCTAGGGCTCAGTTTCTTTATCTGTAAAATGAAGCTAATACTATTCATATAACCATTGCCAAAATGTTGCTGGCAGCTCCATTAACTCATACTCATCTTTCCATGTTCCCCTTGACAGTTTCTCAGGCTGACTACTTTCCAATATATGTCAAGCACTTACTTTCAGTTCCTAATTATCAGGACCTGGTGCATATGCAGAAGAGAGACTGAGATTCTACAAGCTTTTATTAGGAATTAGTAAGGGCTTTCCTATACAGCCTTATAAGGAAAGGCATGAGCTTCTCATGCACAACGTCTCCCACCTTTATATATAGTTCTCTTCAGCCTGCAAGAACATCAGAGTTGATAGCACTGCAGATGAATGTCAGGTACAAGCTATTCAACACTACAAGTAACTCAGTGGTTCTCAAACTCTGGTTCCCAGACCAGCAGAATCAGCATTACAAAGAACTTGTTAGAAATGCAAATTCCTGGGTGACACTCCAAACCTATTACATCAGCAGCTCTGGGAGTGGAGCTGAGAAATGTGTTTTAAAAGTGTTTTTTAGGTGATACCAAAATTGAGACCCTCTGCTATTACTACTGTCTACTACGCCCTTCCACCTTGGAATTCCATCTTCCAGCAATATCCGGAAGAAAATAATTTCAAGTCCTGACTTAGAATGATTTTGTAGCCCTTGTGATTCAAGAAAGTTCTGGGTATCACACCAATGGCATAAGGTAAAGGTTATTATAAGAAAAAGTCCCATGATTAATAATTTGGTGGGTGACCCAACTTGTATTAAATAACACTGTCTTTTTAAATGAAAGGCCCTAGAAAAATTCATATATGATATTAATATTAACATCTTCCATTTATCTTAAGTAATTGATTTGCTTTTTATCTCATGAGGTATGCAAGCTATAACAATAACAAGATTTCCATTTTCGCTTTGAAAATGTAGAGCCAAATTTGTGGCCTGTCGGCAGCAAGTAGGTAGGTTCTAATGGCAGGCATTTTTATTTCTCTGTACTCTTACTCGTGTTCTTATTAACTTGTTCATATTTTCTTATATTTTATGTATGCTTTCAAGCTGTCTTGAAGTTTTAATATTACAAAGTAGAAAATAAGCAGGTGATGGGGCACGTGGGTGGCTCAGTCAGTTAAGTGTCCAACTTCAGCTCAGGTCATGATCTCACAGTTTGTGGGTTCAAGCCCCTACACTGGGCTTTGCACTGGCAGTATGGAGCCCGCTTGGGATTCTCTCTCTCTGCCCCTTCCCCTCTCTCTCTCTCTCTCTCAAAATAAATAAATAAACTTAAAAAAAAATTTTTTAAACAAAAAAACAGGTGATTGAATGAGTAGCTGCTCTTGGAACTGTGTATCTTCTCAAATAATCCAGCGTAACTGTTTTAACTAAATTACTGTTTTCTTTCTTAGCTTGACAAGTGAATGAAAATGACTGTTTTACTTTTTAATATCCTAATTCATATCTTAAAAATATAGAAATCACTGGGGTGCCTGGGTGGTCAGTCAGTTAAGAGTTTGACTTTGGCTCAGGTTCATGAGTTCGAGCTCCACATCGGGCTCTGTGTGGACAGCTCAGAGCCTAGAACCTGCTTCGGATTCTGTGTCTCCCTCTCTCTCTGCCCCTCCACTGCTCACACTCCATCTCTCTCAAAAATAAATAAATATTAAAAAAACTAAAAAAACAAAAAAGAAGTCACTGAAATAAGTGATTGTTTCTGACTGATCATTAAAATAGCTTAGTTATACAGAAATATATATATTTCTGAACCAACACATGCTACTTTCTGAACCAATACAAGCATGAAACATTATTTTTTTAGAGCTAAGAAATTAAGTCAATAACCCAGTGGCAGAGTTAACTGGTTTTATTTCAAAATTCATCAATCTACATATTTATGTTAGGTCCTCTACAAACTATCGTACTGCTCTGCAGATGGTTTTAAAATGTTTCTGTTCTGTTCAGCAGAGCAGCACTACTTACAACCTTTTCTAAGATTATCTGTTGGCTAGAATTTGTACATCTGTTATTAATGTTCTTTCCCAAAACATTCCTTAGTGGCTGCTTGCCAATATACTTTAGTGTTGATATTTTAAAGTATTAATTTATATATCAACTCATATTTAAAAGTAAGCTGTTGAAATAAAATTTCAACATTTAATTATGCCTGCCTGATAGTTATTAACTACCTGGCAACAAACGCACAACGTGTCCTCTATCTGCTGTTCTCCCATGTTGCCATATATTGCCAAGAAAAGTTTTCTCATATACTTAAGTCAAATTTATGTACAATTATTTTATTTTGTATTGTAAATAGGATTTATTGTTGCAAAGACCTCAATTCTAATGTTTTATTTATATAAAACTAGATAATTCAATTCCACATCACTTCTATTATATAAAAAGTATGTTACCAAGAACCGTTAAAATAATCACATAAAAATAAGTACATAAAATTATAGACAGGCTACTTACACCCCATCCTGGCTCCAATAATTAATAACACATTTTAAACTGTTTTGGTTTTCACTATATTGTTCAGGAGTGTTGTGATGGAGATATGAAACAAAAGTTAAAATCATCTTTAAAAACATAAAAAATAACACAACTGTAGGAAAAAATATTCCATTATTCTATTAAAAGCCTGGTTCAATGAGAGATGTTTTTAGAATACGATGATAGTATTCTGGGTTAGTACCCAAATATGGATAATCCCGATCACATTTCCAGTGGCTTCTACTTATATTCTTCCTATTTCAGTATGATTAGTCTCTGGAATAACAGTTTTGGTACAGCTTTCCTAGCTACATAATTATAAATAAAAACAAGAAAACTCTTGTAATATATTTGTGTGTGTGTGTGTGTGTGTGTGTGTGTGTGTGTGTGTGTGTGTGAATGTTTAAGGGCAAGAGGAAAGCATTATTTTATATTTTGGGTAGCATTTGGCTCTGGAATCAGAAAGACTTAAGCTCAAATATCTGCTCACCTGCTTACTAACTGCCCCATACTGATAGGTGTAGAGCAGCCATACCTTACAGATCCAAAGTCTAGCTTTTCTGTATTGTAGTTCCTGGTACATAGTACATATACTGCAGAGAGCAATAGTTGTTGATAAATATGAATGTGTGTGTATGCATGCATTTTTTTCTTTTTTTAAATTAACAACTATGAAACCAATTTCTTTGCCTATGCTTCTGAAATATAAATATTTTGAAACAAATTTCCTAACAAAAACCTATGAATTTTATTTAAGAAGAACATCCAATCCTACCTTTACACTGCATTCCTTGGCGAAAGAGGCCTTTCAGTAACCGCTTGCAGTACTGACATATTGTGGGGCGGGTGTAAGAGTGAACAGCAAATGTGTGTGGAACTTTTACTCTGCACATTACCATCTTTTCCATCCAGATTGGGCGACCACTCCAAGAAGGAATTCTCTTACTTGGTTCTTGGTGAACATGTGACTAAAACATAAGTAATTTCCATAAGTATTAAGTATATTAAAAACAAAGTATTAAGAGCAGGACTTGAGATCAAAGTCATTTATTTTGAACACTAAAGCCAAAAATCTAAAAATGTGCATCTCAGCAGTTTCTTCTGGAAGCTTAACTTACCATCACTTGAATGTGAACAGTGCAGATTTTTTTGCTATTATTTATACCAAAAAAATTTTTTTTTCATCCTCACATATGTATATTCATTGATGAACTATTTGCCAGACATATATAGCGTTTTACAAATAAAAAACAAAAGCCTTAAAATGAATTTATGACATGTTTAAATCCCTTGAAAAACCTAACCAAGAAATGAATCATAATCATGAACCTTTCTGAATAATAATAAATTCAGAAAGTTTATTGTTGTTCATGTTGAATTATTGAACATGATGTCTAAAAATATTTTGAAATAAGTCTTGGTTTTTCAAATGTATTTTTACAAATACTAAAACATGTTTGTTAAAAACTTAAGTCTAGGGGCGCCTGGGTGGCTTGGTCGGTTAAGCGTCCAACTTTGGCTCAGGTCATGATCTTACGGTCCGTGAGTTCGAGCCCCGCGTTGGGCTCTGTGCTGACAGCTCAGAGCCTGGAGCCTGTTTCCGATTCTGTGTCTCCCTCTCTCTCTGCCCCTCCCCTGTTCATGCTCTGTCTCTCTCTGTCTCAAAAATAAAGGTTAAAAAAAAAAATTAAAAAAAAAAACAAAACTTAAGTCTAATGATGACATAAAAAATGGCAGATACAAAATTAGCTAAAACTTTACCCCTCAGTACTGATGCTTTAGGAAGTCCCTTGATATTTTAAGTATTTTCTAGTTATTTGGGCTTTACTCCCCCAGAGGAGCAAAGAGGAAAATTAAAGATGTTGATTAAAAATTTTTGTGTAACCTGAGAGATAACTAGATTTTTCTAACTATGATACTTTCTATATGTACAAAGAAAATAATCAAGTTAAATTATAGGCCAGTTCAATATGGCTCATCCCATTCATTCAGCATTCACTGATTATTATACTACAGCCCAGACCCTCTGCTGTGTATTGCAGAAACAAAAATGAATACAGTATAGTCCACATTCTCAAGCACAAAACACCTATCATCTAGACATACTATAGATTTTGTTGTAGCTGCTTGTATCTTCACTGCCAGAACTGAAGTCCTGAGACCTTTCATGCGCCTTCCATAACTTGTAATATCTAACTCAGAGAAGTTGAGTCAACCCATAAAAGCAAAAGAAGCCAGAAGAAACCTAGAGACAGAGAACTGTATGAAATAAATGAAGGGAGGAAGAAAAAAAAAGACTGTTTGGAAGAAAGCAGGAAGAAGGTTAAGAAGAAACAGAAAAGGACATACAAATGGAGAAGAACATTATAAAAAGAACACAAAAATGGTCTCTGATGGATAGTTTTTCACTACTATGTAGCCACAAATGTCCCAAAGCATATTAGGAAGCAGTTTAATTTAAGAAAAGTTACAAAAACAATGTTAAAACCCAAACCAAACTTGCTTCAGCTCTCAGGATCTCCCGCTCTAGCCTGGCTCTTTTCTTCCACCGTGACGCTGGGTACTGAGCACCGCAGCGATCCTGCAAAGCTAGTAATGGAAGCCAGCGGGAACGAGAAACAGATGTTGTAGGCTTTTGTTCACGCCTGGCTCCCTATTCTAGTGGTGATTCAACACTCTGCTCCTCTTGCTCCTGCTTCTACCACTTTCGGTTTGTCTCAAGTTTAAAGCACACAAGATGGAAGAAGATCGATTTTGCCAGCCATCATCAAATATGTAGGACACCCCTGTAAGGAAGAACTGTCATAACAAATCCCTTCATATGCCAGTGGCCAGCGAGTGACTGACTGCCTTTGGTCAGGCCCTCCTGGGACTGGGTATTAGGGACATGGTACAAAGCATGTGTGCAAGGAGCTACTCAGGAGACTGGGCTACAGCAGCCACCTAATTTTTCATGTTTAGTACAAAGTTACTTAAATATGAAAAAACAGACTCAAAGGGATTAATAGTACTTAAATGCAAGCATTATAATCAAGACTTAGCCCTAGGTCTTCTGTCTGTGGGTTTTTTGGTTTGTTTTTTTTTTTTTTTGAGAGAGAACATGTATGTGATAGGGAGACAGAGAGAGAGAAAGAATGAATTTCAAGTAGGCTCCATGCACTGCACGGAGCCTGACACGAGACTTGATCTTATGACCGTGAGATAATGATGTAAACCAAAATCAAGAGTTGGACGCTTAACTGCCCGCACCCCCTGCCACCTAGGCAGGCGCCCCTAGCCCCAGGTCTTTTCCATGAAAGTCCAGTCCCATCTTTTTCCCATCTCAAACACACCTGAGCATAGGCTACAATCTCATCAGGGACCATGGTTTACCACTCTCTTGAGTGAGGAAGGCAGGAAAGGTATGGAAGACTGAACCAGAATTTGGAGGAAGGAGGATACTGGTAAAATTACCTGTGGAACATTTGGTGAAAATGGGACCACTAAGACTAGAGTAACTAGAGTGAAAGTTCTTCTCTTACCATGATTTAATGGCCCCTCTTTACAAACTACTAAAATTCTTACTTCTTTATTAATGAGAAGCCAGAAATTCTCTAAAAGTAATCCGATTATTTCCATGGCATGGGTTTCAACTAATGTCTAAAGTGAACATTTGCCTACAAAAACTTTATAACATGTTGCCAACTCTCAATCAGATGTAATAATAAAAGCAATAAAAGCATTCAAAGGGGGGAAATTCCCTAATTATACATATTTGACTTTGAAATATTATTCAGTAAAAAAATGCCTCCACTTTTATGCATACGCTTAGTTCCAACAGTTTCTACCTTGATTCTGTCCTGTCCTGGCCCCTCAGGCCTCTGCCCAAATGTACTGCAAGGAATATTCCTCCTTCTCATCTCCAAAGAGCCATCATTCAAGTCTGGTCTCTCTAGTCTTAGTGGTCCTGTTGTAACCAAATTCAGTGACCATCTTCTAGTCCCAAAGACTAGCTTCTGCTCCTCTGTCTCTTTACTCACTTCCCTTACAATGACTTCAGGCACTGCAACAGAAACTGCCTTCTTACATGTAAACAAACAATGACAACCCCAGAGTCAGATTCAGAAGTTTCTATTCCTGCCTGGCCTTTTTTCCAACTTATCTCAGTGGTCAGTGAAGTTTAGTATCTCGACTACTCAGAAACTTTTCTTCCTCACATCTTATCTAAGAAATCAGGATGAGAGCTGCTATGCCTTCCAGGACTGTGGTAAGGATTACATGAGAAAAGACGAGTAAAGCATCCATCATGAAGCCTGGCACGTGGAACTTAGGAGGCTCTCACCGGGCAGCCATTTGGAGTCAGCTCTTCTCTAACCTTTGTTCAGATTCAAGGCTGCACTCATCTCCTCATTGGTATCTCCTATATTCCTTTAGCGTGTCCTCTTTTCCCACGCTTCCCTCTGATTTTCCTCCATGAGCTCTTCTCTTACTGTACCTTTTTCCTTTTTGAGACTGCATGCGTGGCCTGATAGAAGCAGCCTTTTTTCACACATTCCACTCTACAATTTCTACTCATTCTACAATACTCTGCACGATCTAACCAATTCAAACATGTCACTCTACTTCATACACTTCCCTAAGGAATTTTCATCTTCAGGATAAAACAGAAACTAATGAATGAAATTTAACCTGATTCATCTGCTCTGTCCTGCCTATTTCCTAATCTAGTACTCCTCATCTAGGGGGAGCTGGAATCCCAGCATCAGTTGTGGGGCTCTTAAAACAACACGCCTCTATCCTACAGACCCCATTGCGACCTAAGTTTCCTGTGTAGTTCATGTATAAAATACACTCACTTTTCAATCACCAGTCCTTTCCCAAGCTCTTGTATATGTTTCTAATAACTCTTTGCTCTCAGTTCTTATGCCACAGCACTCTTTTTTCCTAAGTTAAACATCTCACATTAGTGCTAAGCAACAGGGAAATATGGGATTTTTGCGAAAGAACTTCAGAAGGTTTTATTCTAAGGTGCCTCAGTATAGCAAAATCTTGTGACCAGGATATCAAGCCAATAGCCCAAAGGCTTGGTTTTGCCATTAATTTACGGAAGACCAAAGGGGTTACAGAAACAACTAAATGATAAGATTGCAATCTATGGATGGAGGTCACTTTAAGTACTATCAAAAGAACAAGGGAGTTATTTCTTTCTCTCTTGATCTACTATTTTACTCTTCACGGGTACAATATATTAGGAAAAATCCCTGATCTAAAAATAATTAAATCTGGATTTAATTCTAATGTTGCTTACGAATTTGCTCGGTGACTTGAGTCAAGTCACTACTTAACCATTATAAGTCTCAACTATCTCATTATGTACAGATCTACTAAAATATCTCACTGGAATATTGTGATAATCACTGGGTTCATTCATTCACTCATTCTTACATCACTGAATATAACATATTCAGTGAGTATAACATATACAGAGTATAACATATTGTGCTGGGCACGGTAGGGCACACAAAAGACCATGAGCATTGTCTTCTCTAAACAGATCATGAATTCCTTGAGGACACCATGATATTAAGGTAGAATGATATACACACCATTAGACAGGTCTGAAAAGTGGTTTGGCATTCGACCAATAAAATAACTTCTGGGTAAGAGGAAAATTCAGGAAAGGCACCTGTTGAGCTAGGTCTGAAAAAAGCATGGAGGAGGGACACCAATAAGAGCAAAGGTAGAGGGAACAATCAGGTGTTCAGGGAATGCTAAATAGAACGGATTGTTGGAAACGAGAATATATAAAGGTTTCCTAGTGGGGAGTGATATAATCAGAGTTGTGTATTAAGCTCTAGTGAAATAAGATGATCTGACTGTAGTGTAAAAGATGAGGTAAAGTATGGGAACCAGGATACTGGTTAGGAGGTTAACACAGTGGTCCAAGTGATAACGTGGTCCCAAAGAAGATAATACACAACTCATTACTACTGGTAAACTCTGTCTCCAGTAATATATTTTAATTTTCTTAAGTGTAGGAATGTTTGTAGTCTTTAGTGTATAATTTATGTCCTAGGATGATGTCATATACCTCATAGAAACATAAGGAACAAGTAGTAAAATGCCCTCTTATTGCCTTAAAATACATACCTCCTCTGTGGGAAGGGGTACATATTCAGTCTGTAGGAGTCTTGGAACTGAGAGGCCAGGTCCTGGCAGAGATACATTTGATAGACGTCTCTTTCTTACTCCACTACAGTTATTTGGAATCTTGAAGGCACATCGTTTATGATAATTTAATCCACAGCCTAAATATATTTTAAAAGGTAAAAAAATAGATTAAAGAAACTTAGATATATAAGTATGTTACATAAAAAATAGATGCTTCTTTTATTTAATTTACTTTCTCTGGCAGCAATAGTTATCCTAATTAAGAACCTGAATGAAAAACTAAGCAGAAGCCAAAAAATTCAGTGTAAATTATTGGGCTCCACCCCAGACCGACTGAATCAGAAATTCTGGGGATAGGTCCTAGCAAAGTATGTTTAACAAGTCCTCAAGGTGATTCTGATACATGGTAAAGTTTGAGAACAATTAGCTTAAAGCACTTCAGCAAACTGTAGACTGTGTACCAAATTCCTCCCATGATATATAAAAATTGTATGAAATCCAAATTTCAGTGTTCATAATTAATTTTATTAAAACACAGCATGTTGTTCATTTCTCTACATCTTGTTTATAGCTTCCCTGGCCCAAAGCAGATTTAAGTAGCTGTGACAGAGACTATTAACCAATAATACTTAAAAATTTACTCTCTGGCTCTCTGCAGAAAAACTTTATTGACCCTCCACCTTAGAGTACTCAGAAGACTAATCAGAAATGTGCACCTGCTTCCTACCCCTTAGCAATTCTAACGCAGAAAAACTAGATCTGTCCAGTTCTAAACACTGGTTACTACCTAGTCACCAACCAATGATCTTATTCTTTCATTAACGATTAGAGAATGCAAATGCAAAATCCCCTTTCAAAAGACACCAAAACTCAGAACACATACCTTCACATTTCAGTCCTTGACGTACCAATCCCCAGAGCATCTCACCACAATAATCACAAAAAGTAGGAGCTTTGTAAGAATGTACATAGAGAGTATGTGGACGAATCTGGAAGTCTTCTACTGTGGCCAAAGCTTTTAAAAAAGACAAGTACCAAAATAAAACGTATATCTGCAATTACAATAATATTAAGAATGTTGACCATACTCATTTATGTCAAAGTATGTGGAATCTTTTTTTCTTTGTAAGTTTCATTCATCATAAACTATTCTCGGCATTTAATATTGCGGGTTTCAAACTATTTTAGGAAGTTCCTCAGGTCCAAATAATTTGAGCTCCAAAAGGAGGTCTGTGGGTAGATATTTCAACCTCCAAAAGAATATTCTCATAGTGACAAGATCACAAATAGTTGTTAGGTCTAAAACTGTTTAACTTATAACACACTGGGAAATAGAACACTAAAGTAAAAACAAACAAACAAAAAACAAACAAAAAAACCCATAAAACTGTGGAACTTAACCTCAATGGTAAACACAATGAGTTCTAACAGGATCTCAGTATAAGCTCTTTCCAGAGTCTGTTCTCCATAGTCCTGGTAGTTAAGAAAAAGAGACTCTAAAAAACAGCAGCTATCAAATGGGAAGGATCGAGGACTAATAAGGAAAGGTGAGGGGAGAGAGGATCTCAAGAACAGGTGACAAAGATGAGTCTGAAAAGAGGAAAAATTGGTGGCAGGACTCTGAACTCTTGGCTGGCTTTCCTTTTCCTTCTCTTCCTTCCTCTCACACCCTTCTCTCTCTCCCTCCCTCCTTTCCTGTCAAACAAATAATTCTGCAGGCCTACTTGGTGCACTCTCTGTTCCTTTACATTCCTCACTAAATCCTGCCCACCTGCTATTGGATGAGATCAGAAACAGAAGGAGCTAAGGAACAACAGGTGGCAAGAATGGGTGGGGGGGGGAAAGGAGGGAGGTAAGAAAATGTCCACTGAGAACACATAGGGAAGGAGCATTATTTAAACCATGGGAATGATCAGCACTGCAGTTTTCTCTTCCACATCTTCATTACTTCTCCTTTTTTCCTGATTTTCTTTTTTGAGCCTCAATTCTCTTCCATGCTCTTCATAGAAATGGGGATAAGCGAACTGAATTTTAGTATAATTGTTTTATTTCAATTTATTTCAAAGAGTATATATTCTTCTACCAGTTCAAATGATAATTCCCTTAGCTTAGTAACACTCAAATAAACAATTCAGGGCTTATTCTCCTACTGTGTCATCTGTGATATAACCTTCCTGAAAGTAAAAATCACCTGGTAGCCGTTACAATAGATGAAAGAAGTTAAGCAACTATAGTATAAAGACTAAGTATAACAGAACACGGCATTTAGCACAAAAAATAATGCTTGTTGGGAAAAAAAAGGCAACAAAATAAAAGAAGCCACTTACCTGAAAGAACAACTTCTACTAGGTCTCCTTCATGTATTTCATCTGCAGAGGTAATCAGCTGCAAAATATTTTCTGAGTTCATGTCATGGCGAAAGAGAAGAATTTTGTCATACATGCCAAAGAATCCACACTCTGGAAACTACAAGAAAACAGTCTTATATCAGTATACCCACAGATTTCCAGTTTTATAAGTAAATGTCTCAATCTTATGAAATAATTTTAAGTGTAGTTTTTAGCCTAACACGGTCTGAAAACAACTGTATTAATATCTAAAAGATCAACCATGGACTCCAGCATCCTTGGTTAATTGTCAAGCTCAAAAACAAAACAGCAAACTTAAATATAATCATTATCTTTAGTAAAAGCTCATGTCTCTTAAAAACACAGGATTTCTTTATTCAGTTATTGATGAAGAATATAATCTTGAACTTAGCTGCTACTCTATCTCACACAGCCTGAGAGATCAGCATTCTTTCCTGTCCTCTAGAACCGAGCTTCCTCTCTAGCTACTAGCCACATGCAGTTATTTTAATTAAAATTAAATAAAATTCAAAGTTCAGTTCCTCAGTCACTCTAGCTACATTACATGTGCTCGATCACCACCTTGGCTACTGGCTTGGCTACCATTTTGGAATGTGCAGATATAGAACACTTTCACCATCACAGGAAACTCTACTGAATAGTGCTGGTAGAAGGCTAGCAATTCCCAAACTATAGTCACAAGAGTATCAATTCCAACATTTTTGACAAATGCACCTACAGCCTCCAGCATTTACCTAATACTTTCCTCTTAAAAAACCTTTGGCCAGAGCAGGAGACTTGCAGATCTGTTCATATATACCCTATGTATATTATTTCAAGACTTCTACAGTTTGTGACTACAGAGCTGACACTTTGGGGACTGGCATACCAAGGACTAAAAATATGAAGGTATGAGCTCTAAAAGTTTTTATAGTTAATAAAGTTATGTAAGGGAAACTTGTAAGTCTTTGCCTCACAAAATAACTGTTTAATTTCTAAATCAAAATCAAGACCATCTTCTAAAATATCAGTGCCTTGGGAAATGCTGCTCAAAGTATTTCAAATTTCTTTAGTTTATCTCAGGATTGTATACTCTTGTTGACTTATTTTGGCTCCTCATAGAGTATCCTTTGATGGACTATATAGTATGTCACTGGTCTGCACTGAATGGTCTGATATGTATGTCATACTAAACCATAAATGTATCTATTGCAGGGATGTTGCTGAGGATACGGACCTACTTCATATGGTAGCCCTTCTTTGTGAGGACTCATAAAAGACACTTATCTGGTTGGTTTTAGAATATGAACAATTTGATCATGTAACTAATCATGTTTACTTTGCCCACTGGAAAAAGCAAAGTCAAATATGTAGTTCACTTCCAGCGTGAGTCTAGGATCTTAGGCATGTGTTTTAGGTGGAGATACTTTCTCCTTATCTTCTGAATTTAATTTTCCCATTAAAAATTCTTGTATATTTCTCTAAAAAGGTCTAAATTTTATTGGAAAATATTAAATTAAAAAAATTGAAAATAATGACTTAATTAGAAATTTGAGTTGATTTGAATTTTTTTAAACGTGAGTAAATAATGAAAAAGTACAGAAATATTCAGAATCTTTATATTAGTTCACCTTTCAATTATCTGAGTTACCAATAATACTTCTAAAACTTTATAATATGCTTTAAACATATACCTAACAGTACATAATTTTCAACTGAAAATATAAAAGTAGGGGTGCCTGGGTGGCTCAGTTTGTTGAGTGCCCAACTTCAGCTCAGGTCATGATCTCACGGTTGGTGGGTTCAAGCCCCGCATCAGGCTCTCTGCTGTCAGCACAGAGCCCACTTTGGATCCTCTGTTCCCCACTCCCCTTCTCAAAATAAACAAACTTAAAAGAAAAGTACAGAATCAAAAATGGAGTTTTATTTAATATATTAAAACTTGAAATTAAAATTTTATGAAGTATCATCAAATTAGAAAATCTCCATAAATTAGTTGCAACAATTCTTAAGTATTAACAAAAAAGATTCCACTGTCCATCCTTATAAAAATATCTAACAAAATATTTGTATGAATAAAATTCCTTTTAAAAATTCACATTTCTGCATGTCTTCTATGTGCAAGGCATTGGCCCCATGGTTTCTAAAGGTAAGACAGCCCCTCCCCTCCCAGAAACTTACAATCTAGTAGGAAGATGGAAATAAAACAAATATATAACCTGATAATGGAAATGACAAAAATGAAAAATAAATAAAATTCTAGAAGAGGGAATAAAAAACTTTAACTGGGAAGGTGGAATGTCACTTTAACAGTGATATTTGAAGAGAATCATAAAAAGAAAAGCAGGGTTTCTATGGGCAGAAAGTGAAAGTGAAAGTACAAGGGTCATAGCTGAGAAAATACAAGGTAAATGGGACAAAGTAAGTGGACCCCTATGACTGAAGAATGAGGGGACGGCTGCGCAGAAAGAGGACAAAAATGCACACAGGAGCTCAAAGGGGGCTATACTTAAAGAAACTCGGGAGTCAACAGAATGGGGTTCAGGCTTTGCCACCTACTAACTATAGAACCTTAGATAAGCTACTTAACCTCCCTATGCTCAGCTTCTTGTCTATAAATGTGGAATAAAAAGGGTACTGGCTTTATAGGATTCTTGTTAAAATTAAATTACTTGATGTTATAAAATAGTACCATGATCAGTAAACGCTAGGGGCTCATATCCCATACGTTAGGGGGTGGGGAGGAGAGACAAAGAATACCAGAACAAGGCAGTGACATGATCAAATCTGTATCTTAAAAAGAAACAGGATGAGACCAGAGCAAGCTCCTAAAGAAGGCTGAAGCCATTGGTCAGGAAAGAGGCATCAGGGTCTGGACTATTCAGTAAGAAGACGGAAAGCAAGACAAGAAAGAACACTTCTAAAATCTATCTTTGGCAAATTACAGGGATCATTAGCATTGTTTTGACCAGCCCGGAAGTCCCAATAACTAAAGAGCTAAATAAACACATTAATGACAGAAGAAAAACGTTTAAAAATGTGTGGAATGAGTCATGGACATCTGAATTTCAAGTTTACTTTTACATTATTCAATACATTTTTTATGTATACTCTTTTTAAAAAACAGATTTTGTTTTTAAGAACAGTTTTAGTTACAGAAAAACTGGGATAATACATAGAGATCTCATATACCCCACACCTAGTTTCCCCTATTATCAACATCTTATATTAGTATGGTACATTAATTACAACTTAATGAACTAACATTGATACATTCTCATTAACTAAAGTCCATACTTTATTCAAGTTTCCTGAGTTTTTACTCAATTTCCTTTTTATGTCCCAGGATCCTACACAGGATACCACATTATCTTTCACTGTGATGTCTTCTTAGGCCACTTTTGGCTGTGACAACGCTTTCTCAGACTTTGCTGTATTGTGTGAGGATGCCACCATTAAAATATATCTGATGTTTTTCTCATAATTAAAATGGAATTATGAGTTTTGGGGAAGAAGACCACAAAGGTAAAGTGCCATTCTCCTCACATCATATCAAGTGTACCTACTACCAACATGATTTATTGCTACTGATGTAGACCTTGATTATCTGGCTAAGGTAGTATTTGTCAAGTTTCTTCACTGCAAAGCTATTTCCTCTGAACCCCTAATACTGTGCTCTTTGGAAGGAAGTCGCCGTGTGCAGTCCACCCTTAAGGAATGGCAAGTTACATTCCTTCTCCTTGAAGGCAGAGTATCTATATAAATTATTGGGAGTTCTTCTGCATGTGAGATTTATCTATTTTCCCCCATTTATTTATTCATCTAATCATTTTTAAACACACACACGCACGGCCTCACAGATATTTACTAATACTCTGGGATACAATATACACTCTTTAAAAATAGAATTTTATTTATTTTTTAATAGGCAATTTTTTCACATGGTTCAAAATTTTTACAGTACAGAAGAGTAGAGTGCAAAATCTATGCCTGAGTTTCCAGTTATCCCTGCCATAGTCAACACTGTTGCCAGTTTTCCCTAGCATCCTTCTGAAGATATTTTATGCATAAAATGTTCTTATTCTTTTTTAAATTTATTTTTGAGAGAGAGTGCATGGCACACATGTAGGAGAGGGGCAGAAAGAAAGAGGGAGGCAGAGGATCCAAAGCAGGCTCTGCATTGACAGCAGAGGGCCCGATGTGGGGCTCCAGCTCACGAACCACTAAATCATGACATGAGCCAAAGTTGGACACTTAACCAACTGAGCCACCCAGCCATCCCTCTTCCCTTTTTCTTTCCTTCTTTCTCTTTCTTTCCTATTCTATTCTATTTTTTAATTTTTTTTATGCAATTTTTACAATTGCATAGTTTTATTTTACCAGTTTCCCACTGATGGGATATGGATCAAGGAATAAAACTAAGCCCAAACTGCTGAGTTCAAATCCTGCTCATTTCACTTACTATTTAACTGTGGCTAACTTACTTAACCTCAGTTTCTCTATCTGTAAAATAGTACCCACTTCATAAGGCTGTCATCAGAATTAATGAATGAATACACATAAAAAGTTAGAACTCCTGATCCATTTTGGGCACTCTATAAATCTTAGCTACCGTTTCAAATCTTTTTTTTAAGTTTATTTATTTTGAGAGAGAGTGTGTGTGGGTGCATGTGCACACACGAGCAGGGGAGGGGCAGAGAGCTAGGGGGAGAAAGAATCCCAAGTAGGCTATACACTCAGAGTGGAGCCCAATGTGGGGCTCAAAACCACCAACTGTGAGATCATGACCTGAGCTAAAATCAAGAGTCAGAGGTTTAACCGACAGCCACCCAGGTGTCCCTCAAATCCTTTATTACAAACAACACCCAATATATAATCTTACATACTTACTTTTTCTACTTTTTGAGTATATGATTAGGACTACTTCCTAAAAGTAGATTTGCTAGGTCTAAGAACATCCACATTTGACATTTTTAGATATTGCCAAAATTCTCTTTATAGAGGTCATACCAAGTTATATTTCCATAAGTAATAAACTGAGTGCTTGTTTTTTCCACATTCTAGTTTATAGTGTTGTATTAGCTTAGGCCACATAACAAAATATAGACTGAGTAGCTT